AGAAATCCACTGGAGAGCGCCATAACACCACACATTCCCTCCAAAAAGGAAAATTACTTTGTGTCCAAGTTTTAAGAAGTTTTGCTTTCCATCCATGAAGCTTTTTCAATTCAAAATGTCAGAAATAGCTTGGAGTTTGAGGTTTTATAGAGTGGCCCAACAAAGCCTTGTTTTTGTTTAGAAAATATGCAAATGGAAACTGATTAACTGGTCCACCCCTTTGGAATGAGGGTGGGTTTGCTTCTTTTGTTAGTGTGCAATGCTCCATACCTGTCTAAGTGTATGAAGGAGGGGGTGGGGGGGTCAGACCCAGACTGGTCTGTCAGGTTTCCAGATGAAGTGTGGAGAACCAGTGATGGTGTCTGAGCAGACATCTGAGCGTATCTCCTTCCTCCTGCTGCAGATGACTGAAGCGTGTTCTGTCCTGTCTTCCAGAGGAGGCCTCGGCGCTCCAGGCCACCCTGCTGTCGGAGCGCCTCTCTCAGACCAGAGGTCCTCTGAGCTCAGGTGCAGTGTCTCGCCAGCATGGCCTCCTGGTTCCTGCTGATTGTTCCTCTAACAGTGTCTTTTCCCGCCACAGTCCCAGTGGAACCAGAACCAGCTCCAGTGGGACGGTGCTGCTCCTCTGGACACTGTGGGGGGGCAGACGGTAATGCTGGCTGCTGTTCTTCTCCAACGTAAGCAATCGATTTATTTCCCCTGGCATTCATGTTTTATATCTACCGTTTTTCATTTTGAGGTATTTAGATCTTTTTCAGAAACCGACCGATTTGTGTCTTAAAAAGATCGTCGGTAGAGAGTCCTTGTCTGTGGAAGAGTTCAAGTATCTCAGGGTCTTGTTCACGAGTGAGTGACGGATGGAGTGTGAGGCCGAGAGACGGATCGATGCGGCGTCTGCAGTGATGCGGTCGCTGTATCAGACTGTCGTGAAGAGGGAGCTGAGTCGGGGGGCAAAGCTCTCGATTTACCGATCGATTACATTCCCACAGGGTTTCCGCGTGTCATTAAAAATCATTGTCATTAAATTATTATTTTTTTAAATGAAGGCCTTAATTAGCATGATAATTAATTTAATGTGATTATCATGGCATTTAAAATACTTTATATTAAAAAAAAAATCTAAAAACAATTTTGTGTTTGCACGGAACTGCTTCTGGTTGATCGTAAAGCCGTATGTTTGGAAAAGAAACTCAAGGCGGAGGAAAAGCTAGAGAATGGGGGAAAAATGCTAACTTCAACAAAAGTGGCTGGAAAACGAGGAATTTGGGACATGGCTGCAGCCTGTCGACGGTAAAGATGAAGGATTTTTCTGTGTTTTACACGTGCATCTATATATGTGAGTCATGGACATTTGTTGATGGCATTAAAATTATTTCTAAGAGCATTAAATCAGTTACTCATTCCTGTATAAACCCTGTCCCACCCTCACCTGTGGTCATGAGATCTGGGGAATGAACGAAAGGAGGAGGTCGTGAATATAAGTAGCCGAAATAAATTTCCGTCGCAGGGTGGCTGGGCGCACCCTTTCAGATCGGATGTGGAGATCAGTTACCTGGAAGGGGCTCAGAGTAGAGTCGTTGCTCCTCCACGTCAAAAGGAGCCAGCTGAGGTGGCTCAGGCATCTGTTCAGGATGCCTCCTGGTCGCCTCCCTCAGGAGGTGTTCCAGGCATGTCCCATTGGGAGAAGGCCTCGTGGAAGGCCCAGGACACACTGGAAGGACTATGTCTCTGAGCTATCCTGGTGTCGCCTCCGGGTCCCCCCAGAGCAGCTGGAGGAGGTATGTGGGCCGGGAAAGGGCTGGTTATCCTCCCGCAGCAGTGTGTCGCAGTGAACTTGTCGCAGATATTTTTGATCTATGTCCAATATTGAAGCGTGGTCTGCTCTATGTTTTTCCACGCCACAATGCAAGAGGGCCAATCAGGAACTAGCTGTGGGTCTAGATGTGGCTGAGGCGGTGAGGAAGTGGGGACAAGTTTGTGCGACAACGGAGGGACATGAGGGCGAAAAAAAAAAAAGCAGGGATCCAGGTGGAAAAAGGGTCCCAGTGTTCTCGTGCACCTTGCTCTTCTAGCTGCATGGGTCTTTTTCCTCAATGGCGGTCATAGAAAGAAAAACAAGCTGGTAAGGTACCAAACAGGAAATAAGCATAGTGTAGAGGGGATGTAGATTTGACCAATCAGAGGCCTCCTGTCTGCGGTCACCTACAATTTTTGAGAGGTGCAGCGGAGTGTCTGCAGAAGGAGGGGGGGCACATTTGCATTTACTGGGACACATGCAGACAACCTGGTTTAAGTCAGACTATAAATCAGCCTAAGGTCCGGGCCTATCTTCTTGGACTGCTGCGTTCGCGACCCGATAAAGCGTAAGAAAATGGATGAATGGATCTTTTTCAGAGACCTTTACTTTTCTAACAAAGTGACGCCGCCTCCTCTTTTCTGCATCCTTCCTGAGGAACCAAATCCTCCAGACATAAAGGGTTAGGTTTCCTCTGGAGATGCACCGATCTGTTGTTTTTAGCTGATACTGCTAGCAGCGCTCAGATAACAACAATGCTTTGATGTGAGTGGTTCAAACTCTATTCATCACCTTTGTTCACTAATGACTTCAACGTGAAAAGGATCAGAAGGAGCGGCGGGTTCTGGGTCGGAGGATGGTCACTGGAGTTTAGGGGGGATAAAGCGGACCCCATGCTACCCTCTTCTTGCATCATCTGGGCCCTTTGTCTTCCAGGGGCCCCCAGGTGGCCGGGATGAGGAGCCTACTGTGCTACAGCTGCCAGCGGACTGTCAGAGACATGGTGAGTGGAAACCGCAGCCTGGACCTGTCTGTAAAGTTGGATTTTCTTATTTTTGGTCTGTGTTCTTCATCCCCTCCAGTCCTCCGTTCATCATCTTCCTCCTTACATCCTGTCAGAGGCTCACAGAAGGCAGAAGCGGTGAGATTCTGAGGTTCCCAGTGAAGAGATGTTAACAGATTTGAATCCGTTGGTCTGACCTTTTATCTGCTGCAGGTCTGCGATGAGGGAGCAGATCAGCCAGTTCCTGCTGGACGGTGCTGAGGAACACGACTAGAGATGACGAAGATGGGATGATTGTTTTATCCTTCATTAATTTGATCAATAAAGTGGATGTTTCCAGAAAGCAGCCTCTGTGGAGCTTCAATGTTTCAGCGGAGAATGTAGCTCAGTGAAACGCCAGGATCAGAAAGAGCTCCATGGTTTTCCTCACAGGTTTGATTCTGATGTGAAGATGTGGATGAAGTCATGGAGGAGGAAGATGCTCATGGAAAACAGACCCATTGGATCTGCCTTTTTTTGTACACCGAATTAAAAAAAAATTAAACAATGAAAATTTTTACACATTGAATTCCTTACACTGAATTTTTATCTAGTGAAATTTCAGCTGCAAAAAAAAAAAATCCTCTGCAAAAATAGCTAGAAGCTGCTTGACTGCATTAAGTGTAGATTGCTTTAGCTTGAGTTCACCAAAAGGTCAACACATTTCGGATAGAATTCTTTGCAGGCAATGTTTTTTGCAGCTGATAAAAGTTCAGTGGTTAAAATTCGGTGCATAATAAAAAAATGCAGATTCCAGTGAGACTTTTAATTTTTTCTTCATATATTTCTGACATTTTGAATTGAAAAATCTTCCTGGATGGGAAGTGAAACGCCTTAAAACTGAGGGAGGAAAAGTCCAGTGGTTTGTTTTTTTTTTTTTAACTTAAGGAACCAGCAGGAGGCCTGAGCTGATTTGGACTATACCACATCAGTGCTGTGGGAGAAAATGTGGTTTTTCTCAATTTGTCTTAGGTTTATGTACGTTTTGCCCCATGTGTTTCTGTTGACTGATCAGCCACTATTTAAGTTCCTCTTTGTTTCTATAGTCTAGTTATTTTGAGTAGTTTTTGTTCCTTTGACCTCTTTTCTGGATTGTTTACTTGTTGCATTTTTTTTTGCTTAAATAAAAGAACCCTGTGTTTTGAAAATCACTTGTGCGTGACTGTTCTTACTAACCTGACAACAGCGGAGACATGCATCTGGCTGTCAGGTTATGTTCTTACTGCTTGCTCCTTCATAAGTCCAAACACAGCCAGTCAGACCATTAAAGAGCAGCCAGTGTCCCGGAGCTTATCCCAGTGGAGCATTGGTGGGTCGTCCTGGACCCCCCCTGCTCCGTTTTACTAACATAAAAGCTGTTTGCATCACATGATTCTAAATCGGACAGCTTTCCTTTTTATTAAGTGAACAATGTGGAATTTAAACATAGCCTTGGTTTCCCGCATTCTGCAACGCATTCCAAACATTTAGCTCCGAGCCATCTCTAAAAACAGCTCAGATACCGGCTGCTTCCTGCTGGGTTTAAAGTAGCTTCAGGTTTATTCAGTGGTTCCGTGTTTCTGGTTCCAGTAGAGAAGACTTTCAGGTATTTCTGGTCATTTAGGCATCATTGTTTTAAAAGCAGCTGACTCAGACTGATCACTTCCTGTATTAATGATCCAATGGTTGCATCAGCTTCCAGCTTTATTGGAGCCCAAACATTCAGGAATGAAAACGTCCAACTAACCAGATAAATGTTTAATTCTGCTTTAAGTCATCTTCCCTCCAGAGGGGATGGAGATTAATCTGCAGCGACTGGGATGCATGCTTCGTGACTCTCATTAACGCACTCAGCAATACTTGTCTACGTCATTTAATGTCTAACTCATGCCGCCACCATGTTTGGCCTTTTATTGCTGAAATATTTCCGTTCCTCTAAAGGACAGAGACCGCACTCTCCCCTGCACTCCTGGTTCTGATTGGTCTGCGACCTTGAACCCGCCCCTCTATACGTACAAATTCACAGATTTACGATCAGTTCAAGCTGGAGTTATTGAATTGATAACCAGCTTGGTTGTCCAGATTGACATTTTGGTTAAACTGGGAGTAAAAAGCTCAATTTCTTCCTTTTTGACATCAGGACATATTTAAAGAACATTTTTAGCCCCAAGACAAAAAGAAAAATTCAGAATCAGACAGATTAACTTTAATGAAAAGATTGTAGAAACTTTAGGTGAACAATAAATTCCACGCAAACAAACAAGTATTTACAGGTGAATAGTTTACAGAGGCCGTTTCTACGGAGGCTCTAGATGCTGGCGGCAGTCGGCAGGGTGGATTTGTCCAGGTCATCGAAGTATGGATGTGTCATGGCCTCACGGGCAGAGATCCTCTTCGGCGGGTTGTAGGTCAGCATTTTCTGTGAGGAGGAGGAACGGACAGAGCAGAGTTAGAAGAGGACTCTGTAACCGCTTCAGGCCTTCATGAAGTTCTGCGTGGTGTCCAGAAATGTTTGTGAACAACCGCAGGATAGAGTGTTTGAGCTTAACCCCGCCCCCATGTCCTTGCATTTCACCATAACTTGTCTGTTGCTAAGAAACCTGCCAGCATGAAGGTCCTCTGGTCTGACAGGATCAAATCTCTGGTTTAACACCACCTCTACTGACAGTGAGGTTTCTAGAAATTTCTTCTGAAGGTTCACTGAGTCTAAGGCCATTTCTCAATCTGTGTACTTGTGCGTTCTCATGTACTCGTGAAACATCATCAGCCTCAGCCCTAGTACTGTTCCAATTCATAATAACAGCAGACAGAGAACGGACAAAGTCCCCGGATGTTGTTCTTGCCCCTCCCTCTTTACCCAGCATGCATCAGAGCAGACTTGTCTGTTCTCCAGACTGACAGCTGTCCCAGCATGCACTGCGGCAGCGTCTAGGTTAGCGCTCACAGAGCTCAAAGTATCAAGTTAAAAGTTTGCTTTTCTGTGGACGATCTATACAAATACGTTTTAAGATCATTCTAGGTGAGAACATTATACTTTAAGCATCACTATATGGTCCATTAACTGATTTAATGCTTAATTTATAAAAAGTTCCGATGTTGAGAGGACCACGGCAACCAGCTGAGCTCCGAGGGTAACGGCAGCCAGGGCTAACGTTAGCCCGAATGAGCAGCCTTCTCTCTGCATAGCCGTGTGTGGCACATGTTGGCAAAATGTTCATTTGATTTGTGTTTATTAACTGAGTTAATCATTATTCCCCCGATAAATGAAAGAAGTCATAATTTATTATTATCTACAGTCTATTAATAACATAAGGTGAAGCTCCAGGCTAGCTTTGAATTTGGTGATGTCATCAGGACGCTACTGTTCCAACTGACCCAGATTTATTCTGGCCGTTTTTCAATTCACGAGAACGAGAGTACGGACTCACGTTCTCATCAAGTCCGGTCTTGGTAAGAACGCCAGCACGCAGCATAGACATGGGTCAATTGGAACAGAAGCGTACTCGTGATGTCCTCACACGCTCGGCTCTTCTAGAGCTGCATTTCACCTCCTGTTATAAATAGTCTAGATAATAATAAATTATTACTTTTTTCATTTAGTGGGGGAATAATAATGAGCACAGTCAGATAAACAAATCAAATGAAAATTTTGCCAAAAAAAATAATAAATTGTCATGAGACCCAGCGGTCCTTCACACACGGCTATGCAGGGAGAGGGCCGCTGCAGACGGACTGCGGTTAGCCTCGGAGCTCCGCTGGTTGCCGAGGTCCTCTCAACTTTGGAAATCTTTTTTTTTTTTTTTATTCCGCATTAAACCGGTAAATGGACCATATAGTGACGCTTTAAAGTATAATATTCTCGCCTTAAATGATCTTAAAACGTACTTTTATTGAACAACAGCAACAGAAGGAGAACTTTTAACTTTCAATGGAGCGCTTCTAAGGCGGTTCTAAACCTCAGGGAAACCTGAAGGTTTGATCATCTGCTGTCAGTAATCTAAAGGGTCTGAGGTCAAAGATCTAATGAATGCGTATCAGACAGATAAGCTTCACGCTGAGGTCGATCATCAGACTCTTATTCTGACACCAAACCAGCAGCGGTCCTGCTTCTTACCGCCAACAGGTCCAGACCGTCAGTATCCAGGTTCTTCACCATGGACGGCAGGTTGCCGGGCTTCCATTTAGGGAAGGTGCTTTTGTAGTCAGGCAGGTTCTCCACGTCGGGCCACACGTCATTGTTTGGAGTGCCCAGCGTTCTGCAAAAGAACCTCTGTCAGCAACAGAACCAGCTGCCTCTTGTTTGGCCTGCAGGGTCAGAACCTGCAACCGGACCCCCACCTGAAGATCCTGAAGAGCTGGTCGATCTCAGAGTCTCCGTGGAAGAGAGGCTTCTTGGTAGCCAGCTCGGCAAAGATGGTTCCGGTGCTCCAGACGTCCACAGGGGTAGAATATCTGGGGGAACCCAGCAGGACCTCAGGAGCCCGGTACCACAGAGTCACAACCTGAGAGCGCAAAGGTCAGGGTTAGAGCGGCACCAGAGAAGGTCCGGTCGGAGACGTCTGCTGCTCACCTCATGGGTGTACACTCTGACCGGAACGCCAAACGCCCGGGCCAGGCCGAAGTCCGCCAGCTTGATGACTCCCTTGTTGTCTATGAGGAGGTTCTGAGGCTTCAGGTCCCGGTGGAGGACCCGGCGACAGTGGCAGAAGTAAATCCCCTCCAAGATCTGGTAGAGGTAGCTCTGTCAGGAGGAGAGAGAGGCAGCCATCAGGACCCAGGTTCTCCTGAGCGCCCAATGGGCCGGCCGAACCAGGGCGGTGTTCCCCGCATCATCAGGACAACGCCTGTGTTTTACCAGGAGCTGCGTTTCCATTACACATCAGTGCAAATTATAACCACCCAAATCAGTTCACTAAATGGAGACATTTGGAGAAAATATAATAAATCACATTGGACTAAAACTTTTTACTTCTACTCCTCAGATTGGTGAAGAGTAGGAATGCATTGGAATGCCTGTTGGTATTAAAAAAATAAAATAAAAATTATAATTAGTTTAATCCAGATAATTCATTTATTTGTGGTTGGAGTTGGTGCTGCCCCAACTTATTGTTCCCCACATACCAAAATAAATCGTTTTTCAAGATGATGCAAATGTTAAATTTGAAACTGTTATAATTAGTTATAAAACTGAGAAAAGGAAATCTATGAAGTTATCATCAAGAATTGTAGAAAAATGTTTAACAGGGTAATGCAGTAAAGCTTCTGTCTTTGACATTTTTTCCTGCATTACTTTTACTTTTAGTAGTTTTAAAATGGTACTTTTACACTTTGCTGGAGTAAACAGCTAAAGTTGATCCTCTTACCTCTACAAAAGTGTTTTTAAACAGAAGGATTTATACTTCTACTTAAGTATAGAGGATGATCTTTTATTTCTGGGTGGATCATCTAAAAAGGTGGTCCTTATAACTGTCAATCATTCTAGTGATATGTTTACGTGAGGCCGTCCTACATGCTCATCCTGTTAGCTATCATTTTCTGCGCATGCGCTCTTTCAGGCGTATATCTGTGGTGAGCTACGGTTTCAGGTCACATTTCTCACCGCGGTTCTTTCAAAATGACCGAGGCAGATATATCCCAGAATGCTTTGTGCGGAGAGCTCTCCTCGCAAAGCATTATGGGATTTGCTGTCACAGCGGCCCATAACAAAGATGGCGTAGGCGCCACCCGGTGGAGGAGGAGTTGCGTGACCAACGGAGCAAAAAGAAGTGATTATGTCTGAACGGTCAGTGAGCTGAGTTCACTATAAAATCCACCATATAGTCCCTGCTCTATGTAGTGATTGAGGAATTAAGGGGTTAGGGTGGACCTTCAGACATAGTAGGCTGGTATGATCTATGAGAACAGCAACTTTTAAACAGAGCATGTAGGGGAAAAAATGGGCTCATGCACGCTCTCACACACGCATTCAATAGGCGTTCCCTCTCTGGGAGGGTCTTCATAGGAAGGTCTTTTAAAGAAATTCTCAAAAATCCTCCACAATACCTCAAACCCTTTAGGGCACTCAGTGAAGTCCTTTGAAAATCCAAATTTCAAGCCAGTAGTGTTATTGGAATCCAGGACAAGACCTTATTGCCTTTGTAACATTCAAAATATATGGATACTTGGATGGCACAAATTAATGTCCATGTAATAACAAGAAACGCCAACTTGCCCAAATATATTAAGCAAAATAACAATAGTGCTTCTATAAGAAATTCATGAAAAACACTCAGAGTAAAAGTTGTCCAACATAACCTTAGGCATTAACGCTGATACTGGCACTTGCATTTTTTAGTTTATAAACCTCAATATAATTGTTAATTAGGGTATTTAACTATTAGAAACTTTTCAGTTTGTTCTTTACCTTTTTTTCTTAACTTATAATTTTTCTTCCAACTTAATTTCCAGTAGTTATTTTTCAAGGGCCCATCTAATTGGTCAAATGCCAAAATATGATTTACAGCCATGTAGCAGCATCTTTGCTGAATGGCTGGATATAGATCTTGTGCTTCTAGACCTCACTGAGGGACTGGGGGACTCCATTTGTAAGGGGTATGCAAGAGATCAAAAACGCTAACTTTCCCTATAAAGGGTTAAGTAATAATATCGATACTTTTGACACCTCATGATGGCGCCCTCTACAGCTACGGCTGAAATATGGATCTGTTTCAAGTGTCTACATTCCACCACCGCCATGTTCTGAGGTATGCTAACAAAGGTTTACTTATTTTTTTGTTGCTTTTTTAAGTTGTAGTTATTTAAACATCACAACAGTAAAACTTTAAATTCTGCAGAACATCAACATAGCTTTGACAGAAACTCAGCTGCTGTTTAAGTTTGCTTTGATTTGTTTTTAGGTTAAAATTATGAAAAATCAGTTTTATCAGTAGACAAAGAAATGAGCAGCACAGATCAGGGAGGGTCAGACTGGAAATGTTTGGGTCGCTACCTTGACCAGCATGGGGTCCATGTACTGGCCCGACGGGATGGAGTCCAGGTACTTCTTCAGGTCCATGGAGAGGAACTCAAAGATGAGGTAGAGACGAGACTCCTGCATCAGGACGTCCAGGAGCCTGGTACACACGGGGGACATCAGTGACATCATCAGTGACATCACAATAAGAGGCTGATAGATTAAATACATTATCCAATGAGTTTTGCCTAAGAGCTTCATCAAAAAACCAGGCCGACCCCGTATGAAGGGACATGAGCTTCTGGAGACTGATTGGTCTCACCGTGAACTCGCTTCAGGTACCTGAACCGCTGCTAAGAGATGGTCGGGTTAAGATGAGATACGGTGAGAAACGGAGCAGAGTGATGAAACATTAGAGCAACCAGGAGACCTTTGAGGTCCAGAGTCCCGGTGTTCTGTCAGACCAGCATACCCATGGTCAATACGCATGTGCAAAATGTGAAATTTGCCTTTATCTCTTTAATTTTGGAAGAAAAATAGACTAAACTACTTTAATGGGCGTGTATCCCTTTAGTCATGTACAAAAATATGATTTACGGTCAGATTGCAATAAGCTTGAAAAAACACAAAAAAAAGTAAGTATTTAAATCTTTTTTTTTTGTACATGAGGTAGTTTAAAGTCTATTTTCCATACTAAACTAAAGGGATAAGCTAAAGGGATAAACGCAAATCTGACGTTGTGCGGATGCGTATTGACTATGGGTATGCTGGTCTGACGGGTACGCTCATCTATGTACTCGTTCCCATATACACTTACCAGTGGCAAGTCTGACAGTGGAAAAATTTTAATTTCTTGGAAAGTAAGCTTGTTTGAGCGATGCAAACAGCAACTTTTAAACAGCGTGCACGAGCAGAAATGAGTTTGTGCACGCTGTGACAAATTGGTTTAGTTTGTGTTCACCACTTGACCCTTATTCTTATTTCTGATTCATAATGCTTAAATTTAAACATTAGTTTGCAACTTTGCTTCCCTTACTATCCCCCGGTTTGTGTTTGCATTATGTTTCAGTTTCCATCTATTTATATGTTTATGTTAAAGCTACTACTACAGGATTATTGGTTGAACTTGTGTATTTTGTTTCAAAGTATAGTCATGGTATTATTTTTCCTTTTCACTCACCATTGTTCGTCCCAGTATTTTCTGCTAAATTGGCCAGATGATGTCATTGATCCTTGCTGGGTTCTACCATTTAGAAGGTTTCCTTTGGAGTAATGCTTTGTTTGTTTTTCTTTAAAGTAATTTCTTGAGTTATCTGGTATCACATTGTTTATTTTGCAGACTCTTTCATTGTGTAGATGAGTTTTAAGATTAATCATTTTATTCTGGTTTCTCTGTTTAGACTTTTTTTTCTACCTGTTTAATTGTGACTTGGTCCACTCAGCTGACTCAAACTAATTTTTTATTATTTCGTAAATATTTCGTTGTCATCGTTGGACGCTCCTTTTAAATCTTTGTTTACAGGAAAAGTTGTTCTTGTTACCATAGATCTCTCCATGTGCTCCTGCAGCTGACAGGTTGATCGCTCTGTTATCGACTAGTTTTCCCTTAGAGCAGCTTACTCATCACCTCAGCCAGAAATCAGACGGATCTGGGGATTAATTTAGTCTTTTCTACCGAATCTGTAAACGTTTTTCTCTTCTTATTCAGTGAGGCGACATGAACTGGAGGGAAGTTATATTATTTTTTTTTTTTATCCTTTTTTTCCGACAAGGGAGTTTTCAGTAGATGTTTTTCTCATTGTGTCTTGTTAACTAATAAAAAAATAAATTTTTAGTCATGACTGCCAAATACATGACTTTTTTCCCCCTCATATTGCCAAATATAATTATTCCATTGATTAATCAATAATTACTTTAGAGATTGATTTCCAATCCGTGTATCATTCGTTCTTTCTATTTTCAATTGCCAATCAAAAAACAAAAAATTGACTGGTTATTTTGTTTTTTATGGTTAAACCAAAAACGAAAAAAGGATTTGTTTTTCATATATCAATTCTAAGCTCAGATCAATAATACGAAATGGAAAAAACGGACAGCGACGCATAATTTGATTTTAATATTTAATCGGTACAGTTTACGTGACCCGGAAATAGCTCTTTGCGCAGCAGTTGGGGTAATGAAGTGGTTACCATGGCGACGCTAGAACCATACACTATGTTGATCGAGAAGCTGTTTGTTGTTGCTAGTTAAAAGTACAGTGCACAGAAAAGTTTCAAGAAAAAAGTTATACCTGGAAAATCCTGTTGATTTTCTCCGTTGTCATGTCCTCCTCCTTAAGAGTCACACGCTTGGATCCTCGAAATAACACGTAACTGTCCATGGCTGATAGGTCCGACTGCCTTATCTGGTGCAGCTTGATCGAACGTGGTGGGGGTAAGCCAATTGTTTTTTTAGCTAACGCTCCACCAAACTTCCGGGTCACGTAAACTGTACCGATTAAATATTAAAATCAAATTATGCGTTGCTGTCCGTTTTTCCATTTCGTATTCTTGATCTGAGCTTAGAATTGATATATGAAAAACAAATCCTTTTTTCGTTTTTGGTTTAACCATAAAGAACAAAAAACAAAATAACCAGTCAATTTTTTATTTTTTGTTTTTTGATTGACAATTGAAAATAGAAAGAACGAATGATACACGGATTATTTCCTGTCACGGATTCCCAGATGCCTGTATGTTTAACCCACTGAGATGTAGCGGTTTAGACTAAAGCCCCTTTGAGCAGGACGCCATGCAGACCTGAGACCAACGGGTCCTCAGTGACTGAGCAGCGGACCCGTTTGGAGCTCGGTACCATGGAAACCATGAAAACCAGTCCACCAGCAGAGCGCCTGTCCAGGCTGATTACCGAGCCCAAAAAGCAGCGTACCGTACTACGTTGGGATGTTTGAGCTCCTGGAGCAGAGACACCTCTCTGACGGCGGTGCTTGGAACCCCCTCCTCCTCGCTCTCCAGGCGGATCTTCTTCATGGCCACCACCTGCCCCGTAGCCTTGTGTCTGCCCTTATACACCACCCCATAGGTACCTGGAAAAACAAGGCCAGAGGATGACGTCACACTCACAGCAAACCGAGCCCCGGGGAGCAGCAGAGACCCACAGGCTCTCAGACCTCATGGGAGTAAAAGGGTTGGTTCATCTGCAGCAACTGATGCTTAACATTCCCATCACACCACTCTGTTTAAAACTGCAAAACAAGAAAAATACTATCCTGGGTTTTATAAAACGATTCTTGTTTCTTAAAGGTATAGAGAGTGATCTGTTATTTCTGGTTGGATCATCTAAATAAGTGGTCCTCCTAACTGTCAATCATTCTGGTATAACGTGCTCGTCCCGTTAGCTATCTTTTTCTGCGCATGCGCTCTTTCAGGCGTATATCTGTGGTGAGCTACGGTTTCAGACAGTCATTGAAGCTCACCTTTCTCACCGCGATTCTTTGAAAATGGCCGAGGGTCGTAAGACAAAAAGTGTGTACGAAGAGATGAAAAGAAAGGCCTCAGAAGAGGCGGATATATCCCAGAATGCTTTGTGCAGAGGGCTTTCCTCGCAAAGCATTATGGGATTTGCTGTCACAGCAGCTCGCTGTCGAAAGAGGCTGTTGCTACCTGACAGCGGTGACTAATAAAGATGCCGCAGGCACCACTCGGTGGAGGAGGATTTACATGACCAACGGAGCAAAAAGTAGTGATCACCTGTCTGAACGGTCAGTAAACTGAGTTCACTATAAAGTTCACTATATAGTCCCCGCTCTATGTAGTTTTTGAGGAATTTAAAGGTTAGGGCGGACGTTTGGACACAGTAAGCTGGTATGAGCTATGAGAACAGAACTTTTAAACTGAGCCCATTTCTCCTCATGCTCACTCTTGCACGCTCTCACACGTTTTTGTTTTGTTTTTTTTAAGCGGAGAGGGCGGATCTTAAAAAAAAAAAAAAATCATCCACAATACCTTTAAGGACAGTTAGCCAATTGCTAGTGATGATCAATCAGGCATCTTGAAGCTAAACTGTATTAATGCTGCGTTGATACCGTCTCACAGAATACTGACATCTGCTGGACGTTTAAAGACACTACCGAATTAATTTGATGACCTAGAATAATGATATAATTTAAGTTATTGTAGGTTATATTTTATTATTTCACATCTATACTTAAATTTAAAATAAATTTGATATTTCTAGATACAGCCAATAAATAATGTAAACATTTATCATAACATGGAAATTTAGAAAATTTTAGACACTACAGTGAGCTGATTGGACAAACTGAACTGAATTGATCTGATGACCTAGTACAATGATATAATTTAGGTTATATTGTAATATTTCATATTTATAATTAAATAAAAGTGATATTTTTATGTGCAGCCAACAGACAATGTTAACATATATCATGACGTTAAAATTTAGGGGGAAATGTGAACGAGGATGATTGTGGATTTTAAATCATAATTTTAAAACAATAAGTACAGTAAAAACAGTAAATAAACTAAGTGTCAGTTTGAAATTAACTTTAATTCAGATAAGTTGAGTGATAACTGAGAGGAAAAGGATGACGCAATGAGAACGGCTGAAACGTTCTTGTTCCTTTTAGGCTGCTCCAACATTTGTCATATTTTTAATGAGACAAGACATTTTTTTTTTTAGCAGATGCATCATGTTGACAGATATGCTTTTAAACCCAGTTTAGTGAGTCAGTTAGAAACAGCTCATGTATCGGTCACATGACTTTCTTGAATCAACACGCGCACAAATACAGTGTTGGGCTCCACGCCTGCACCCAAGCATCGGTGTTAATGGACCAATCACTACCTATTGCTGCTAATAGCAGCATAAGATCTGATCACAGATGTATTCATTTATTTACTTAAGGGCCCCCATTAGGCTCCGTTTTCAACTAAAAAACCTCAATCAGTACAGTAGAAACAACATAACAACATTATTAAATCACACAACAGAAATTCCTTATTAGAGATTTCTTACACATGAAAAATAATCTACAAATAAGTAAAAAATGTCTTGGATTAAGTGTATTTACCCTTAATTTATGAAGGTAAATGAGACAGTTTGCTAATGGAATGAGGATTTCTACTCTTAAAATTAGATAATATGCACTTGAAACAAAACAATGAAATTGTTTTTTCTTATTTCAAGTGTAAATTGTCTCATTCCATTGGCAAATGTCTTTTTTACATTCTCAATCCAAGAACAAATGCACCTATTTTAAGAGGAAAAGGACTTATCTACATTTTGATTTTTTCCCCCAGTGTACGATTTAATTAAAAAGAGACGTGATTTTTTTTATAATTCTCATATTCTGTGGCATCATACTCCACATGGAGATGGTGCGGTGTATAAATGTGTTTTTAATGCATTAGTTCTTGAGCAAAAGTCAGATTAAAAGCTCGTCTTTTATCTGATCAGATTTTTGGTGCTTTGCTGAAGAAGCCAGTCAGAAGGAAGCATTTCTGTCAGATACAATCAGCTGAACAATTAATCTGAACTATGGGATTAGATAATAGATTTTTTGGAGGAAGGAAACCTGGTGGGAATAAAGACAGTCCCTGTCAGGAAGGTCCTCTGGTCCTACAGGACCTGGATCTCCTGCGGTTCCTCCAGTCAGTCAGTCTGTCAGCTGATGCTGCTTTAATCCACAGCAGTTCAACTCTGCCAAATTTTAACTTTTGATTGAAAGGAAAATAAGACAAACCTTCTCCGATCTTCTCTATTTTGACATAATCTTCCATCACGGCCTGAAAGAAAAGATGAAACGACTCACTTAACAAAAGACCAGACAGTTTTAAAACTTTAACTCCATCAGCACAGATATTTCAAATCCTCCGGACATGAGGCGTCCCAGATATGAGCCGGAGCAGCAGACTGATCTGATCAGAACATCTGGACACTGACCTGGACTCAGCCGTTAGCTTAGCCAATGCTAAGCCGGGACAAGCAGAGTCAAATCCTACTTTAATATCAGGGACTTTTAACTGCCTCAACAGCTTCAGGTCAAACCTCAGACTGACTAACGGTGCCCTCAGCCACTCAAAGAGGTGGAAAACAAAGAGAAATACCTTGTTTTGATGATCTAGAGCAAAGTTATCTTCATTAACCGACTTTCTGTCGCTTCTGGAGGAGAGAGGCTGATTTTGAACAAACCGCAACACAGCAGAGGTTCAAAACGCTCCAATCAGCTGCCGCCATACATTTGAAAACAGCCAATCACAGAGGCGGACACTTCCCTTCTGCTTGAGCGGGAAACAACCCGCCGACGTAACAACGTTTTTCTAAAGAACTTTATTGACAAAAAGAAAAGTGACAAGCAGCAAAAAAAAACACAACAAAAAACTCCCCGAATTAACCAATTAAACCAAGATTTAACTTAAAGATTAAGGTTTGAAATTATGAGCACGAATTTGACTAGGTGTTTATTATGTTGGATTAAATTAAACAGTTCGGGAAAATATAATTTTTTTTTATTTAGTTTATCATTATTATTTTTTTTTTTTCTTTTTATGGGAGTGAGTCTTGTTTCCTGATTCCGTGTTTAACTCCTTATCAGTTGTCGGCAGTAATGCACTTTAACTAGTCATAAAACCTTACAAGAAGAAGAAGAAAACAAGCATTACTCCTAAAAGAAAAACTGCTTAAATTATCAAATTAGGTTAAATAAAAGTTTTATTTTTTTTAAAACATAAACAGAGCTGCCCTATATACGTTTATGGATATAAGATTTAAAAGTTCAAATTATGTTATGAGTAAGATTTTAAACTTTTTTATTTTTAAGCATTTATGTAGAGTTTGTGGTTTAGAATTAAATCCAGTGGAAATATTCTCAAAAGTCAATCCAAACCTAAAGTACAGAATAAAATAAAGTATAATGGTTAAATATATACAAAGCTGATAGTTAGAGTGGTTCAAGTTATCCTGAGCTATCTCTATAGTTATGCTGCTATAGGCTTAGACTGCTGGAGGATATAGGGACCCCTGCTACATGCTTGGTTGTATTAAGATTAACAGCAAGTAGCTGTCACCGAAAACGTGCCTATGAAGCGCCTAACTGGACAAAAGCTGGACCAAAGTAGCGAGCGTGACATCAGAGGAGAGGTGCGCGCAAGACCGGTTAAAATTGATGCGCAATGGCCGAATGAAACTCTTTTTTTTTCTCTCTCTCTCTAAAAAGTTTTTTTTTTGTTGCCGTTTCCGCTTTCGCTTATTTATATCTATATATATATATATATATATATATATATATATATATATATATATACATATATATATATATATATATATATATATATATATACTGTATATAGACCAAGATTGTGGAAACCAAGGCCACCACTGCCCGAGCCTGTCCCCAGCTGGAGAACATGAGCTCTGAGCTGAGGGAACAACTTGGAGAGATTCAGCGCTCCCTTCGGAACACCCTCAACCCATCAGAGCTGACCTTTGACCCTGAGACGGCTCATCCTAATCTCATCCTCTCAGAGGACCTGAAGACAGTGACTTTCAGCACTGTGATGAAGTCCTACCCGTCCTCACCGCAGAGGTTTACCAGCTTCTACCAGGTGCTCAGCACTCAAAGCTTCTCAGAAGGGGAACACAGCTGGGAGGTGGAGCTGGAAGGTTCACCGTGGATCGTCGGTATGTGCAACAGTGCAAAGCTGGCACGCGTCGGGGTGCCGTCCGCTCTGGAAAGCAGCCGAAGCTCCTGGTGCCTGATGTGATTCGACAACCTGCTGACTGCTTTTGAGCAGGGTCACCCTGTGCCGCTGAAGAAAACCACAGTGTCTCGCAGACTTGAGGTCAAGCTTAGCTTTAAAACCCACCGGCTGAGCTTCTACAACATTAGCTCCTCCTTTGGGAAGACGCATATCTACACCTTTAAGGCCAATCTAACTGAAGCGGTGCACCTCGCCTACAGGATGATGTCAGGGCATCCCAAAGCAGAGTCACCATTTGGTCATAAATGGGCATTTTGAAAATAAGCACAAGGAGACATATCAATGCGACTGTATCCTTACTACCACATTTCAGAAAAAGTTTAATATGATGAATCAATTAGTACCTGTTTTAAGACTAATATGTGATATTATTGTACTAGTTTAGACTTAGACTCAACTTTATCCCTTGGATTTACTCCTTCAGGGAAATTCTGCTTCCAGTAGCTTATATAGAGTACAGAGAGTTAAAGCAAGAGCCATAAAGGATAGAAATATAACAGACAATATAAAAAGGGTGTATATAGTACCAAAAATGTATTTTAAAAAAGTTGTAATGTCCTGGAATATGTTTCCCTTAGATATAAAATATCTGCACAGTAGAGAGCTGAGGGAAGACTGCACAGTAGTTGACTTTGGTTTATACACTTGTAGAGATGTACTGACCTTATAAATACGTTTTTTTTTCTTTGTTTTGGTTTCAAAAATCTTCAGAAACATAATTCTGGGGGTATTGGACTGCAAAAATGATCTAGAAATAAGTAAAAATTTCTTGAATTAAGTGTATTTACTCTTAATTTGAGTACCGGTAGGTGAAGTAGGTAGGTAGAGTAGGTAAGATGATTTGCCAATGGATTGAGTATTTATACTCTTAAAATGAGATGATGATTTAATATGCACTTGAAATAAAACAATACAATTGTTTTTTTCTCATTTGAAATGTAAATTGCCTTGCTTCATTGGCAAAGTGTCTCACTTACATCCTCAACTCAAGAAATAAGAAAATAAAAATAATGACTTATTTAGATTTCTATCTTTTGCAGTGTACACTTCATTCTGGTTGAAAACAATGTTTAAGCAATTTGATGAGATGTTTTTTTTTTTTTTTTTTGTCCCATGCAGAGAAACAACAGGATGTCAGGTATGTCATGTATGATATAATCAGTAGAGCTTTGACGGCTCAGTGTCGGCCTGATCACAGTCAAAGTTGCAGCTTTGGTATGCGCCCAAAGATGCTAACCTGGGATATTTTGGCCAAATGAATGTCCCTTGAGAAAAGGAACTGTCCTGCATAAAGGTCAAAAACAAAAACTCCCCCAAACTTGAGTGGAGGACAATGCCGGGCCAAGAGGTGTCTCTTATTTATTTTTCAAGGAGTTGGCCACCCTACCCTCTGCCATCAGATTTCTCAACGCCACAGCCAGGACCCTGGTACTTAGATTCTAATCGCCATACAACAACTGTTGTTTCTATAAAGAAGGGAGGAACTTTTATTTTCTTTTTTTTTGCTTGTGTTTTTAGCATTTTAAATGTTAAGTAATTTAAATTTCAACAATAAAAATAATTGCACAAAAATAGTTCTCCCATCATTAGTTTACTTTCAAAAGCACTTAAATGTTTAGTGGAAGATTTTCTTTTTCTGAGTGGATCATCAAAATAAGTGGTCCTCCTAATTGTAAGTCATTCTGGTGATATGTTAACCTAAGCTGTCCTATGTGCTCTTTCCCATTTTTGCTTATGTGGAGAGTCTGACATAGTGGAAAAATTGGAAATCTTCTTTTGGAAAGTAAGTTTGTATGAGCGATGCAAACAGCAACCTGTCATGATTGGAACTCGGAGGTAACCCAATTATGCAGAACACCTCTGACGGACACAGGGATGGAAAGTTTGACAGTTTACTTAGCACAAACACACAGAATGTATAGATTCTGGTTCGGGCCTGGATTCTGGTTTCACCGGAGTCTCGTGGGTCGTTGAGGTTTTCTTTGGGAGAGTCACTGTTGGTTCTGGAGAAGAGTTTAACAGCAGAGTCCGTTTGCTGCTTCAGCGTCTCACGTCTAGCTTGAACAGACCTTGGCTTAGGTTTCCCAGCTCTAGTCCAGAGCTGCTTGGAGGTTCTCAGAGAATCCTCAGGGTTTGGCTCTGAGGGTCGGCTCGGCTGGTTAGCTCTTCCTGAGCTTTCACAGGGGAGGCACGGGTTTTCCTGGAAAAACAGAGATAGTGGTTAGAATCCAACCTGGATTCAAAGTCATGGAGAAACAACGAAGATCTAGGCTTTAGAACTGACCAACTGGAACAACACTGCGGCATTGAGGCAAGGTCTGAAGACAGCTTATATAGTGGATCCTCTGATGATGGTAATGAGCAGCAGCTGTGCAGGAGGCTCTGCTCAGGAGGATCCACGGCGGACTCTGCTGGAGAAAGATGGTACTACTCCAGCTCCCAACAGTACCCCCCCCTCAAGGGCGGATTCCAGACGCTTCAGACAAGACCTAGGGAAACAAGGTAACAACAAAAAACATCCCACCAAGGGTGGGCGCAGGGGGCACCAAACTAGGTAGGCAAGAAGCCAAGTCCAAAACAAGAACCAACCCACCCAGGGTGGACGGAGGAAAATAAAAAGGAAAAAACAAATTGAGTCCCAGAACAAAAAACAATCCACAAAAAGGTGGACGTCAACAAAGAATGTCTCTTATATCTTACTGGGAGACACCCGGTAGCAGCTCAGAAATAGGTGCAGGGCGGGGCCGCCCACTGCAGCACCGGAGCTGATTCAGAGAGGACCGCCGACTGCAGATCTGGCTGCAACATGGAGAGAGCCGCCCACGACGACTCCGGTGCGGCCTCCGAGGTGTCCTGAGGCGCCCACCGAGGGCCCCTGGATGCTCGGATCGGCCGAGGAGGGACTCCAGAAGGTTCGGCGGAACGGGGACTGGTTGACTGACTGGAGGCATGGCAGGAGGGAGACCACGATTCTACGTGTCTATGAGTCCAATTAATATGAGGGTTGTGTCGCTCCAACCACTCATATCCCAGAACCAAGGGAGAACAGGCTGATGGGAAAACAAGAAAGGTTAAGGTCTCTCGATGACTACCTGAAACTTGAAGCTGAAGAGGCTGAGTTTCGTGGGTAACTTGGTGTAGACTCCTTCCATCAATAGCTGAGACTTTAAGTGGCTTCCTCAGAGGGGTGGTCTTAATGTTTAGCTGTTGAACTAGACTTGAGTCAATAAGGTTTCTCTCACAACCAGAGTCTATGAAGGCTGACAGAGTGAGAGTCTGATCAGAAAAGAACAGGGTAGCAGGTAAAAGTAGATGAGAGGATCTTCTATTTAGTTGATGCTTCACCAGACTCCCCATAATCGCAGACGAGCTCCAAATCCTATTCTTTGCTGGACAGGAAAAAAACAAAATGCCCAGGTATTCCACAATAAAAGCAAAGCTTTTCCTTAAACCTTCTCCT